TATAATAATCAGGTAATTTCCGACACTTTACTTTATTCCATTAATAATTTAATATGAAGAAATGGAAAGCGTCCACGTGACAACATATACTATTATAATCTAGATGTTAACTAGAGGGCGCATGTGTTCAAGATCGATAAATTCAATTTTTTATCAGTAAAATAAAATAACGCTACTCCCATTTCATAGTTGTTTATAAATTCGATTGATTGTTTTTAAAGCTACACAATGGGCTAACCGCACTGTTCTTACAGTTTGTATTAAACCCCGAACTTTAGCATGATCAGTCTTCAAACTTCCCATTGATCGACTACATAAAACTACCCGAAACCACTTCTTGTGAGGGTTATATTAACCGTTTAGAAAATACACGCAAGTTCTTTATAATCTATCTTAACATAACTTTCGTTTCACTTGGATGGAGTTATCGTGCACTGGATCAACTTATTACTTGGATGGAGTTATCGTGCACTGGATCTACTTATGCCTTGGATGGAGTTATCGTGCACTGGATCTACTTATGCCTTGGATGGAGTTATCGTGCACTGGATCTACTTATGCCTTGGATGGAGTTATCGTGCACTGGATCTACTTATGCATGGGATGGAGTTATCGTGCACTGGATCTACTTATGGGTGCTTGTTGTATCCCAGCCGGCCCGATGAGCTCTGGATTGAGCGAAACGCGTCGTCAGCAGAGGATATGACAAATATAATGTGGTTCTTTTAATTTTTGAAAATCCCCAGGGGACTAGATAAACAATGTGGTGCTTAAAAATATAATAGGCCTAATACTGAACTATGACACCTATCTATCATCGTCAAAACAATAGGCCTAATACTGAACTATGACACCTATCCATCATCGTCAAAACAATAGGCCTAATACTAATGTTTTATGGCAAGAGTAATTATGTTCTATATTATTCACAATTAGTGACTTTTTATGTTGATTGTTCTGGTTAGTTGATTGGTTTGTTGTTTAGCGCAGAGCTACAAAAAAGAGCTATATTTGCTTTGTTCACTGCAGGGAATCGAACCCTAGATTTTTCGCATTGTCAGTCTTTAAACTTATGATATCGCTGGAGATTGAATGATGTATGTAAGTAGATCCAGTGCACGATAACTCCATCCAAGGCATAAGTAGATCCAGTGCACGATAACTCCATCCATGGCATAAGTAGATCCAGTGCACGATAACTCCATCCAAGTCATAAGTTGATCCAGTGCACGATAACTCCATCTAAGGTGTGTTATTTTATTCTCACAGTTTAGTGTGTAAATGTGTTATTTTATTCTCGTATTCCTCTTGGAAATAAACACATGAACAGTTTTTATCGAAACGTTTTTCTAATCTACATTTTGTCTGTTGTTGCTGTTAGTGGAAATAAATATATTACGTACCGTGGAAGGCTGGGGAACTGATTTAAAACTTGAAAGGGAAAACCTCTGTGTTTTCTAGCTGACCATGTATTTTGTGATGACGAGAACTAGTCCTACGGCCGTCCACGCGAGCCGGACTTCAGCCAGTCCCAACCGGATATTGGTCCAATTTTAATTATCTAACTCGGTGAGTATGACAAAATGCTCACTCAAGAAAATAAAGTTTTACTGGTCAAACATTTCATAACGGTTACAGATCGGTAGATTTCTCTCGAGCTGTCTAGAGAAAAAGATCCAAACAGCGCGAGCCCGCCTGTCGGCCTTGAGAAATCCATGTTCGCAGGATCTCTACAAATGAATCATTTCTTATCCCATGTTACTTCGTAAAGTAAGTGTTTATTTAACAAGACTTCTCATTAATATCGTTTTTTTTTAAAAAAAAATATGATGTCAGTTCATTAAACGCCACAATTCACTACTCGAGAAACGACTATGCGAATACAACGGGCAGATCGAGGCCTACGACTATCATTTTAAACTCACGTCCTCGGAAGACCGCTCGTTAGCCGTGACCCCACTAGCGACGGCAAGCGCAATCTCGAATCTTATTGGCTTCATTGGCTGTCCTTCACTTAAGCGGCCTTGGCCGGCAACCAATCAGGTGAGAAGAAACCCTCTGATCTAAACATCGATAAGCTTGTTTCTTGTCTACCAAGTGGTTAGTTTGTGTATTACTAGTTGAAGTATAGCCACTAAAATCAAAGGTAAACATTATTGAAAGCACTTATTTTCAAAATGATAGATCGAGAACGGTAGAAAGAATAGTTCCAAACTTCAAAAATAAAACTGTTTATTAAAAAGACTAAACTTATAACTACCCTATTTATTATTATTATTATTAATCATACTGTTTTATTAGCCACCGCAAAAGAAAAACACAACAAAGTTATATTATTAATCACACTGTTTTATTAGCCACCGCAAAAAAAAACACAACAAAGTTATTCAAATCATGCGAACTTAGTTTGAACTGTATACGACATTAGACTTATATGTTGTTTACAAAACTATAATCTTTAAATAAGTCATTAGATGTATATGTTGTTTACAACAGTTTAATCTTATTTAACTCCTCCTCTATTGTACTTAGCCTTACCAATACTCACATGATATACAACACAACTGTACTCCTTCAGCATGGCTGAATGACGACTTCAGTGTGAGCCTTATAAAACACTGTGATAGTATCATTTGTTTTTACACACTAAACTGTGAGAATAAAATAACACATTTACATACTAAACTGTGAGAA